TTAATATCTGTAGCTTATTAGTATTTTAAAACAATGCTTTCGATTAATACTTTTTCTTTTAACTTTCCATTTGTTTTTATTTATTTCTTCACGATAAAACCCTTTTATTTATGCTACTTCATGTAGTGTATCATTGGTCCCATTTGTTTTTATTTATTTCTTCGCGATAAAACCCTTTCATTTAGGCTACTTCATGTAGTGTATCATTTGTCCCATTTGTAGCTTGTTATAATTTTAAAAAAAGCATTTCAACTTATACTTTCTTGGTGTCCGATTATTCACTGCCTGTTTATTTTGCAACAATAAGAGCCTTCAATTTTTATTATTTCCTGCGACATACCATTAGTCTGATTTGTAATTTGATATTGCTGTTATTCAATTGATAGTTTTACTTGTGACGTAATATTGTTTACATTTGTTGCACCTTATTTATTCAATATAAGTCCCTATACTACTACTTGTGGCATGTCATTAATAATATTCGTAGCTTATTCTTATTTCAAAACAAATCCTTGAATTGATAACTTTCATTTTGGCGTCCTATTTTTACATTAGTGGCGTCACATTGATTTTATTTGTAGCTTTTCATAATTTTGAGCCTTTAACCTAACATTTTTTAACATCACCATTGTTAACATTTGTGCCTCATTATTTTTTTACAATAAGAACCTTTTATTTATAGTATTTCATGTGTTGCGTCATTAGCCTCATTTGTAGCTTACTATAGTTTTAAAATTAGCATTTCAACTTATACTTGTTTGGTGTATCATTATTCGCTGGCTCTCTATCTTCTTTTTATAAAAAACTCCCTCTTCTTTCTCTTATTTTCTGTGGCCTGACCTCAATCAGAATTGTCACTCGATATTATTTTACAATAATTCTTTCAATTTATACTTATTATGAATTTCAATTCTTATAATGAAAAAAATAAGGACGCATAAATTTAGACGTCCTGTCGTTCAAATTTATTGTTTTTCATTTTTTTCACAATAAGAACTATTAATTTACACCACTTTTAGTGGCGTGTCATTAATCACATTTGTGGTTTGTCATTCCTTAACAATAATCTCTTCAATGTATACTCCTTCATCCCATTATTCGCGTTAATGGCTCCTTATTTTTTCCCAATAAGCCAGTTTAAAATATACTAATTATGGCATGCCGTTTTTAAAAACTGTGGTTTTTTATTAAGTTCCAATATGCTCTTCGAGAGCCACGATGGCGCAGGGGATAGAGCTCTCGCCTTCCAATGAGGTGAACCAGTTTCGAATCCCAGCGATGGCTGATCGATACGAATTCCACATCCGGCTGCACCGACAGCAGTGCTGATGTGAAATATCCTCAGATCCTGGGATAGAGTCCCCTTGCCATCAGGCTAAGCGTAGAAAGTTCTCGTGGTCTTCCTCTCCATGAAACGCAGATGCGGGTCAGTTGTATCAAAACATCCTCCACGAAGAAAAACTTCTCCCATTACTTAATCCAGGAGTTTCCTTGTCTTCTGGATTGGGTTCAAAACTAGAAGGCTACGCAGATGAGCATTAGTAGTCGTAAACCCGAAAATAATTGGGTCGACTGTTCAACGACTGTCGCAAAAAAAAATGTATTATATATATATATATATATATNTATATATATGATCCTCAATTGATATTTTTAGTGGCGTGTCACTTCTTTTTGTTCATTTTGTGGTCTTCTTATTTTTCACAGTAACGTATACTGTTTTGTAACAATATTATTTAAAAACGAGACACAAATTTGAAAGTTTTTATTCCGTAAACAATTTTGTGAACTTTTACAATTAGAGCTTTTAATGTCTTTATCAGACCTCAGTATAGAACAGTAGGTAACTTACCATCTTTAGTATCATTTAGAAAGATATACAGTCCTAATCTCAGAGCATGCTTAACTAAGGTCCCTTAAGTATCATTTAATGCCTCAAGACGGGTAATGTTGCATTTTAGAGTGAAACGTGTAAGTTAGAATTTAACTAGAAAGTGCTGTCAGGTTTATCTGTCGTTTCATTTAGATTAATTCTGTTAATTACTATGAGAAAATTAACTGTTACAACAACAATTTACTTTAAATGATTCTGGAGTAAAATTATCACAAATCTCTTAAAGCAAGAAAGGCGAAGAGTCACACAATACTTGGAAGTAATATAAAAGCAATATGACAAAATAAAGAAGAAAGTTAAAAAAAAATCACAAACACTAAATTTTTTTTTAAAAATATATGAAAATGGTGAAAAAATATAAAGCGAACACATTTTATTGGAAGTAATAATCAATCAGTCATGTTTAAAGCTTTGGAGCAGATGGGGCACCTTTTTCCCTTTTCTAAATTTTTATTGACACTCCAATTACTAGGAAAAATATATTAAGGTACTTTTTAATTATGAAAAAACAGTCTAATAGTTACTAAAAAAATTCTGTTAGTTTATCGGAATTACAATTGCACTAAAATATAAAATCCAAAAAAAGGTAGCTTGATATTTTTTCATTCATGTTCAAAAATTTATCAATAATTGATTTTGTAAATTAAGAAAATTTCATAGATGGATAACTGTTTCTCTTAGATACAAATAAGTACCGATAAGTACAAATTAAAAAAATTATTGCTTGAAAGTGAGCCGTGTTTAGAAGAGTTTACTTTTCACCCAGAAATTGACACCGGAATTTCATCATATGTTGCATATCATAACCATAAATTATTAAAATGCTAAATATAATATTTTTCACTTACTCTGGCCTAAATTAATGCAAAATAACATAAAAATTATGAAAAAATATATTTGTTAAAAATCAAAGGGTAAATGAAAAAAATTTAAACAATTTCTGTCTTGGTTAAATTATCTTAAAAAGATAGAGCCAAGTTTTGTAATTTTTTAAGTAACGGAAAGATTTTGAATTAACTATTATTATAGCAAATATTGAAACTATCAATTAATAAAAATTGTTATGACGTATATTAGTGACACACTAAGAAATACTTATACTATATTAAGGACCAAGATACTTATATCATAGTTCTAGTTACAGATATTAGGAATTAAGATACCGCTATTATGATTCAATTAAAACCAATTTGTCTGAAAATATTTTATTAAGCTTCATATACATTTTTTATTTTTATGTGCACATAAACTGCATCAATATACGGAGAAACAAAGTATAGTCAAAACTATCAGAATATGATATAATTTGACATGTTTCTGGCTCTATGGGAACACCAAAAAGTTCGATAATTTTTACCAAAGCTCTTTGGTAATGATTTTTGTAAAACCAACAATAAAATATGGTTTTATAATATGAGATAAAATTTAATAAAGGTTGTGGAATTTAGAAATTTCATCATGATATTTAAGAGCATGGTATATAAACTATCTCATCGGTTAAGTTTATTTTCAAGATTTGCATTTTTTACTAAATGTATGATAATGAGAGCTATAATTTTAAAAGCTAGAATTTCTAGATAACCGTTACCATATGATCGAAAAAAATTGGCAAATTAATGGTTTCAAAGCCATATATTTTAAATTTATTAACCAGAACTATGTTTTTTTTTATTTGAAATGTCATTACAGTTCTGTAATTTTCTCCATTTTTTCGAAGATCACTTAATACAATCTTACACTAATTTATGAACCAATAATGGTGCGATTATGAACCAATTGATACCAAAACGAGTTAAGAGTAACTTTCTGATGCCCTTCTACCAATAATATAAAACTAAAAATCCAAAAGTGTAAATATTGTAAATAGAAAAGATGGAGAATCATTTCTTTTGGTGTTGTTGTGTGCTAATTCATCATGTTAATTCATCAAAGCTTACATTCAGATTTTTTTACCCCTTTATAAACCTTATTTTTTTGTATTCATTTTGGTCAAACTAAGTGAAAATTATTATATTAAACATTTTAATGTTTTCCGGTCATTAAATGCAGCTTTTTGTGTGTTAAAGATAAAATCTTACAAACACGGCTCATTTATTAAATTTACAATTATTTTCAGTCTTTTAGATCTAAGAGAAACAGTCATATATCATTCAAATTTCTTTAATTTGCAAAATAAATTATTGATACATTTATGAATAAAAAAAAATCAAACTATTTTTTTTATTTTTTTATTTTAATACAAATGAAATTCCGATAATCGAACATATTTCTAATAATAAATATTAAACTGTTTTCTTTTATAATTGAAAAATACTAAAATATATTTTACTTGTAATTAGAGTATCTGAAAAAATATATAAAAGAGACATCGATGTTTTATTTGAATAAAAGGATTATCTTAAATATGAAGGATGTACTTGATAGTTTCGAAACGATCATCCGTATTTGTTTATTTAGCTATTTACATGTTGGGTTAGATATTCTTTTTTACTAGTCTATTTACTGTCAAGCTGATCTGTCAAACCTCATTTGCACTGTATTCCAAATATTCCAAATCATTACTGTAAGAACTACCTAAAACTCAGAGTGGTGGTACTCTTTAAAAATCCTTTTTTACAGGAACATGTTATGGAATAAAAAATATGATATACAGTAATTTTCAAATTAATAATTTCCATAAAATTACTGAATCACTCTAACTAAATAAATATCACTGCTAAAATTACGGTATTATATTTTACGGGAAAAAAGGATTTTTGGGTAAAAGTGATTTAATGGATGATGAGCCCAAAGTGCCGGTACTTATTACCGTAATTTGATCCAGAGTTTTTTTACAGATACTAATTGAAAGGAGAGAATTCAATCCTATTGTTAATTACCCCTAATTAGGAACCACTCCACTAACCAATTCGTATATATAATCAAAAGCAGTTTTTTACTTGCACTTTGATGCGGAGAACTCCGGCAAGTTTTCTAATCGAATCAAGTTAATGTTAATTTACAAAAAGTACAAAAGGTACTTAGTTGTAAAAAAATCTGCATTCGCGAAACATTTTTAATAGTTATCAGTATTTTTTTAATTATTTTGTATTTTAATTCCATTTAGATTGCCAAATTAACATCTGCCAGCACGGTAAATGCCAAATCCTGAACGAAGAGCCAGGTTACCATTGCAAATGTGATGACGGGTATTTCGGAGAAGTCTGCGATAAGTTCGATCCTTGTTCCCTCACCCCATGCGAGAATTTCGGAAAATGCTGGAACATATCGAGTAACAAATATCGCTGCGAATGTTTGCCTGGATTCTCCGGTGAAAACTGCAGTGAATTCAATCCATGTGCTATACGACCGTCACCCTGCTTACATGGTGGGAGATGTGAGAGTACCTCCAGTCATAAGTATCAGTGCTACTGTACTAAGGGTTATTATGGCAAGACATGCCAGTTCTTCGATCCTTGTTCTTTAGATCCGTGCCAAAATGGTGCAAAATGCCAAAATGCATCGCAAGAAGAGTATGTTTGTAGATGTGTTGCTGGATTTGCTGGTAAGTAGTAGTATTAAGTATTCTAATCATCGAGTTCTAATCGCTCTTTTATTTTAATTCATCACTGTAGATACGTTCATCATAGTAATCCTTTTAATTCATCATCCTTTCAATTTCTAAGTAGACTCAGTCTAAGGCGGTGGTCTTCTGAGTCAAGCAAAGTAAAGTAATCCTGCCACGATCAATTATAGGTCAAATATTTTTATTTATTTTATCGCCGTTGTTGAGCATCTTGTTTAAATAGTCTTTTTACGACCAATAATTTTTATTTATTTTATCGCCATTGTTGAGCATCTTATTTAAATAGTCATTTTCCGACCAATAATTTTCATCACCACAACCTTTCAATTTTACATAGATTCAGAAGGTAAAGAATTCCTGAATGAAGTGAAATAAAGCATTCCCGTATTAACCTGCTGTTTACCACGAAAGTCATGTAGATTAAGGCTCTTCAATTCCAAGACCAATGACATGATTGTGGCCAGCAATACGCCTTTTTCCCCTTATTAGCTGATATTTATCAATCCAACGCTTGGGGGGCATCGAGCCACCACCTGGGATAGAACCTAGTTCTTCAAAATGATAGTTCAGACACAAGCTACTGTTCCATCGGTACTCCATGCCTCAACAAATTTCCTTTCTCATAAAAAATTTGGAACGAACAAACTAACATTTCTGTTGTAGGCAATGAAAACCACAAAAATTTGTTATGGCCTAATGGAAGATTTATTGTATACAGAGCGAATCAGTAAGACTCGAAATGACTTAGTTGAGCATCATATTTTAGTAGTACTCGTTTCGCTCCTTTTTTTTAACGTCATACAAGAAAAAAGAAAGGAAATTTAATTATTCATGTATCCCTCTTTAAGATTCGAACCCATGTCTACTAGCTCTGAACTTACTGGATCACTATACTGGTACTACCACCATGATAATAAAAAAAAATTCAGAGTAGCTTTTAGCCGATATCAACTATCATAGAAGCGAAACATTTTGCAGATAACTTAATAAAAGCTCCGGATTTATTAAGTATTAGTAAATGCCTTGTGAATTCCTAAGTATTCCCTTGTAAAAAGGAACAATTTAAACCTTTTTCCTAAAGTTTTGTTTGTTTAAAAAGCCTTGAAGTGCAAAAACAAACTAATTGTTTCTCATATCCCCATACTCCAGTTAATATAATTTTTGTTTTACAACCGTTCGAAAAATCTATTGGTAAGTCGTCACAACCCTACATTTTCATGCACCTATTTTGCTCAATTATGGTGCTTACTATTTTAAGGTTTCAAACGGAAGCTACACTTTACAACATGTTATGATTAAGTGTGTCTGTTTATAGTAAAATCCTCTTCGGGATTGATATTTTCACTAAATCTTTTTAATTTTCAAGTTCAGTACTTTAATTCTAAGCATCCTTTAACACTATGTTTATAATTTTTGTATATTTTGTACAAATACTAACATATATACTATGGATAACTGTATCTATAGAATCTGCATTTAAAACTTAGCACTTAAAACTGAGACTTACAAAGCATATTAAGGCCAAATTTGGAGAGAAAAGTATCTGTAAAGATAAAAGTTGAAAATGTATATTGGTATAGTTGGGGTTTAAAAAAATTGTGATAATATTAATTTTATTTTGATTACTTAATTAAAAAAATGCATAAATAATGTATACGAACCAAATTCTTCTTTTATTGGTACTAACTCATAATTTTAAAATTTCTAAAACTACATATTGCTATTGTAAAACTTAAACTAGTTCAAAAAACCCTTAAAATACATTTCAGCTATCAATATTTTTCTTAGCAATAACTGAAAACTATTGTATTTGACTACATGCGGCATATGATAATAAAATTGATTTAACTATTATTCTTTCATTGACTGATTTATAACGATTTTCAGAAACTTCTGATAGTAATTGTAATAAAACAAGTTGTAAATTACCCAAATCATGTTTACAGTGCGCATCGTTTCCAAAAATCAATAATGCAAAAAACTATTAAAATATTATTTTTCCAATCCCTTAATACAAAAATATTCTACGTCTATATAATCTGCCTAACTAATAAATAAGAACAAAATTCGTTTTACTGTATAATAACTCGTAATGTTAAAATTTTGAAAACTACATGTTGCTATTGTAAAATTTGCACTAGTTCAGAAAATCACTAAAACCATTTCAGCTGTCAATAAGTTTTTAACTATAACTAAAAACTATTGCATCTCACTACACACGGCAAGTGGCAATAAAATTGATTTAACTATTATTATTTCCCCGACTGAACTATTAGTAATATGTTAGGTATCCTTAAACGAAAAATATTCATTTTTTAAAATAATTTATTTCACAAACTCCAATGATTATATTAACAAAAAATAATGAATACTAAACAAACATACATCGATTTTCCAAAAATTCCGATAATAATGGCCATGAAACAAATGGTAAATTACCCAAATCATGTTTTCAGTTTGAAAAGTTTCGAAAAATCAATCACGCATAACAAAAAATCAATTCTACAAGAATTTAAAATTTTCTTCAAGGCTCAAAATTTAGTTTCTGAAAGTTTTTACAAGTCGCATATGAATTTTTTTCAACTGTCTACCAGACAATAAGTTTTGAAAAAATTAGCAGACTGTCTAGTATTCTTTACGAAGTTGAGTTGGTGTTGTATTTGGTCTCATATTGTCAAATCCAATTTTCCAAGTCATTTGAGTTAAAAGCTTTTTCATAAAAAATATTTCATCATTGCTTTATTTGTTTTCTAACACATAATCTAATTGAAATATTGGTAAACGTTTAATCTGAATATGCATTCATAAAAATGTAAAGTTGCCTGTAGTATAATTCATATTTTCAATCAATATAGGTGAAATTGGATTATTTTTTAAAGCTTACTAAATTTGCTTTTGGTCATTAATGCTCAAAAAAATTTATAAATATCAAAAACATTTATATTATAAAAATAAACTGGGAAGTTATTGATAAAAAAAATTACTTAAACCATTTTGTTTCATTTTAAAAGTTGAAAAAATGAGAAACGCAAGGTAGAAAGCAAAAGGAAAAAAAAAGTTTAAATAACCCAAAATTTCGTGCAAAAAATATATATTCTTACACTCTATAAAAAATTGGTTCGTTAAACCATAATACACTTTAAACATGAGTATATTTTTATCATAAACTGTCATAGTTCAGCCACCACCAACAGCGTTTTGGAAGATAAGTGCTTTTCCTCTACTGCTAGTTTTCCATATCTCTAATTTAACCATTATCATGCAAATTTACTTGATTTGAAAATATAATAAATAAATATATTATCAAGTTTAAGCAACTGGTGGTAGTATTTCGGAAGATTAAAGCTTTTCCCACGACCCGAGTATTTTCTTACTAGCAGTCCGCAGTTGAACTATTATTGTGCAAGTTTACGTACTCGAAAATGTAAAATAAAAATTCAGCAATTGTTTGTAAATATTAGTAAATATATTTTGCTTTTAATTTCAGCGAAGTTAGCGTGTTCTCACATGTCTGTGATATTTGAAAAAGTTCTTTTTTGCACATTTGGAACTTCACAAAAATTATATGTTTTGCATAATATTTCTCATTTTCAGGTAAACAATGTGAGATAGATATAGATGAATGTGCATCATCTCCATGTAAACATGGTGCAACATGCAGAGATGGAATAAACGCATACCATTGTCGTTGCTCTCCGGGCTATAAAGGAAAACGATGCAATATTGTTGGTAAGCGGGATTTCATTCAATCTACTTTATAATCACGCATACTGTAAAAAATCCGGATAAAAATTGCAGTAAAAAGTATTTTTACAGGAACGTGCTAAAAAAATCTGATATATCGCAATTTTTACAGTAACAATTATGTATTGCTGAATCACTCTAATTATATAAATATTACTGTAAAATTTATGGTACAATATTGTAATTTTATGTACAATATATGGTATAGTTTAATGGATTATGCACCAAAATTGCCCCTTTCTTATGCCATACATTTGATCCCGAATTTTTTACAGTGTAGTTTGTACTGATGCGACGATATTGTACCGAGTTCTCTAAATGTAGGCTGATTATCAAAATAATAGTAATAATATAAATGAAAATAAAAATAAGTTTTAAATAAAAATTTATAAATTGCATTGTTTTAATCGGATGCTTTAATAAGAGATGAGAATCTATATTTAGAAGAAAAAAAAACAGTTTCATTTATTTAATTTTTAATGCTGAAATTTTTAATACATGCAGCACATCTGGCAAAGGCGAAGTCTGTAAATAAGAGTTTCTAACTAACTTCTTTGGTGTGCATTTTATTTAATTTTGTAATCTTGAACAGCCGACCCAATTTTGGGTTTACGACTACCAATGATCAACTTCGTAGTCTTGCAATTTTTAACCCAAGACAAGGGACAAATTCTGGATTAAGTATCGGGAGGCATTCGCCTTAGTGGAGAGATTTTTGATAAAACTAACCCTAATTTGCGTTACATGGGGAGGAAAACTACAAAAACATCTCACGGGGGTCTCTAACCCATGATCCGTCTACCACTGAGGATATTTTACGCCAGCACTGTGGTCGGCGCAAACCGGATGAGGAATTTGTATTGACCAGGCAAGCCTGTGTGTGGGGCTTGGCTAAACCATTTACTTAAAACAGAAATGAAAGAAATCTAAATACAATAATTTGAATCTGATGGTAATTTCCTATTGCCAAAAAAGAAATCTCAGCAAAATAGATTCGATAAAACGTGTGTCAATGATACCTCCCGCTCAAAATATATCACATTTAAAACCAAAATATGTGATATTTACCACACGCTTTTTTCATATGTAATGGCAACCTACTTACTTATGTTTGCATATGAAATTCATGTGTAACAAATTAATCCAAATGGTCTGGAAATGTTAAGTTTACCTGTAAAGTTCCTGTAAAATAAACTAATCCAAATGGTTGAGAAATATTGTTACGTTTACATATAAAATTCCCGTAAAATAAACTAATCCAAATGGTCGAGAAATGTTGTAATGTTTACATATAAAATTCCCGTAAAATAAATTAATCCAAATGGTCGAGAAATGTAGTTCTGTTTACATAAAAAATTCCCGTAAAGTAAACTAATCCAAATGGTCAAGAAATGTTGTTATGTTTACGCATAAAATTCCTGTAAAATAAACTAATCCAGATGATCGAGAAATGTTGTTATGTTTACGTATAAAATTCCTGTAAAATAAAATAATCAAAACGGTCGAGAAATGTTGTTATGTTTACATATAAAATTCCTGTAAAATAAACTATTCCAAATGGTCGAGAAATGTTGTTATGCTTATATATAAAATTCCTGCAAAATAAAATAATCAACATAGTCGAAAAATGATCGATAAATTATTAATAATTTAAAACTAAATAATAATTTTATAAATAAGTTTATGCATAATTATAAATAATTTTATGATTATAAATAATTTCATGCATAAATAATACTGTAAACATAATGGCCTACAGATTAAATAACGAGTATGGTTCCTCTATAAGAAAAGCGAAAAGTATTGTGTCTTCAGCAATAAGCAATCATTTTCAGTATTTCATCACATAGAATAAACAAAATGCAGAATATTGATAAATGCTTCCTTTCAGAAAGAATAAAAAAGAAAAAATTCCTTAATAAAAATTTTATTGCTATTATTAATTCAATGCTTATGATTTCCTTCCAAGTTAAAGCTATAACAAATATTTTACAAAGCATTACAAATTTGAGAATAAACATTTTATTTCCCCAATATCTCAATTATTGTTTTGAAATACATCATTGTAAATATCAAACTTTCAAAAGCTTGAAGATTAGTATTTTAACAAAATGTATTAAAATTTATTTCGCCTATTGTCATATTTTGAAAAGCCAATATGGTATTTTCTTTTATTATTCATTTAAACCATTTGGTATTTTTATTCAAATATGAGATTAACTTAAAAGGCTTGATAAAATAAATCACTTTTATAGCCTAGCAAGAACGTTTCTGAAGTTTTGAATGTGATAAAATTTGTCATCTTAATATCTTTCAAAAAATATCCTTTACATAAAGCATATTTAATGCCAGACAATAGCAACTTATTCGTATTTTCTAAGGCTGTAAAATACTAATTTTTAGGGGAGAGGAAAGAAGCTATGAAACTAAAATGGTATCATAAAAGCAAAAATTATTACGATAATTTATTTAACTCTAGAAGAAATTTCCTTTTAAATATTTTTGAATTGTTAAATTTTTATGTTGCATTAAAATTTGAGTGTTAAAAAGACTTTTTTGGCCATTGAAAATTACTGGCTTCTTTCCATGTCTTCAAAATGCCAGCAAAAAACACAAAGAGAATGTTATGAAAAATGTTGAGATCAAATCAAATCGAATAATTTTGAATTCTTACTTAATAAATTTTCAATATTCATAAAACGAATATTTGTTATTCTTTTAAGCGTAATGTTTTTAGAATATATCTTTAACTAAAAGAAATAATTAAGATTATTTTATATATANATATATATATATATATATATATATATATATATATATATATATATATATATATATATATATATATATATATATATATATATATATATATATATATATATATATATATATATATATATATATATATATATATATATATATATATATATATATATATATATATATATATATATATATATATATATATATATATATATATATATATATATATATATATATATATATATATATATATATATATATATATATATATATATATATATATATATATATATATATATATATATATATATATATATATATATATATATATATATATATATATATATATATATATATATATATATATATATATATATATATATATATATATATATATATATATATATATATATATATATATATATATATATATATATATATATATATATATATATATATATATATATATATATATATATATATATATATATATATATATATATATATATATATATATATATATATATATATATATATATATATATATATATATATATATATATATATATATATATATATATATATATATATATATATATATATATATATATATATATATATATATATATATATATATATATATATATATATATATATATATATATATATATATATATATATATATATATATATATATATATATATATATATATATATATATATATATATATATATATATATATATATATATATATATATATATATATATATATATATATATATATATATATATATATATATATATATATATATATATATATATATATATATATATATATATATATATATATATATATATATATATATATATATATATATATATATATATATATATATATATATATATATATATATATATATATATATATATATATATATATATATATATATATATATATATATATATATATATATATATATATATATATATATATATATATATATATATATATATATATATATATATATATATATATATATATATATATATATATATATATATATATATATATATATATATATATATATATATATATATATATATATATATATATATATATATATATATATATATATATATATATATATATATATATATATATATATATATATATATATATATATATATATATATATATATATATATATATATATATATATATATATATATATATATATATATATATATATATATATATATATATATATATATATATATATATATATATATATATATATATATATATATATATATATATATATATATATATATATATATATATATATATATATATATATATATATATATATATATATATATATATATATATATATATATATATATATATATATATATATATATATATATATATATATATATATATATATATATATATATATATATATATATATATATATATATATATATATATATATCAAAATTACGCACAAGTTTCAATATTTAAAAAAAAAAACATACTATATAAATAAAAAATGTATGTGTGACATAATGGTAAAAATATGATAATTTTTTTTAAATAGAAATTTAAAAAAATATTGTCAAATTTCTCAATTTATGGATAAATTTACTAACAAAAACAATGAATAGAAAGCCTTATTCTTTTTGTATAATCTATAATACTTCAGTAAATCTCAAACTCTTTCTAGCCATTTCAACTATCTAAAACCCTCAGTGAAGATATATGGCAATGACACTCTTACAGAAAAAAAAATCGCCAATTTAATGCTTGAATAGCCGCAGCTTTTAAATCTGTTGGGACAGCAAACGATTTGGTTGGATTTAGAATTCAAATTAATTCGTTTTTATCTCCCTTGTAGAACACTGTCCTCCTCACACAGTTCACAGCAATAAAGGGGTGTTCCGCTGGAATTCTACCTCCCATGGGAGGGCTCAGCTGATCGAGTGTCCTTTCGGCTCAACATACCCTGACCGGGAATCCGCCACTGGATATGCCAGGAGGCGCTGTTACCTTCTGTCCAACGGATCAGTGTCCTGGGGACGAACAGATCTCAGCAGCTGTCGAGAAGAGGTACTGAATGAGCTTTCCTATTTCTTCCTTAATTTGGCGACTTGGTAATAGGATTTTAGTAGACAGACGTTGATCCTTTTCTTACACTTAGGAATCATTATTCTTCCTTTTCTGTCATTAAAGTTCTGCTTACTTAAGGAATAGAATGGTTAAAAAACGTTCTGTCATGATTTAACTCTAGATGTTTATTAAACGCTGCGTTAAGGAAGGTTTTATTTGGTTTAGATAAAGGTGTCGAGGAGCAAACGTTCATAAAAGGCAGGTTGTTGTCTTCTAGTATTAAAGCATAGAAATAAGAAATTTAAGCAGGAAATGTATGTAAGAAATATATTTAATTAGATTTAAAGGTGATTTCAGTTCACAAAAAGTATTTCTATATGCTTTTCTTTATTCCAAAAGAGAAGTTTTAAGATTGAGGAATAAATTCTATCTCAAAAACACTCAGTCTAACTTTGGTATCTTAACTCAGAAAGAAAGTATGATCGAAACTACCAGAATATAGTTACATTGTGGCCTTATGGGAACATCAAAAAATACGGTAATTTTTACCGAAGCACTTTGGTAGTGACTTTAGATAATATTAATAAAACAAATTTTGTTACCAGGCTGTTCGGTAGTAAATGTGGTAAAATTTAGTAATTTATTATGATACTTTACAGAATGGCATAAAAACCATTAATTCGATTAAAACTTTTCAGTTTTATATTTTTACTGAATATGAATAAGAGTTATAATTTTGAAAATCAAAATTTCGGGTAAACCTTTATCGTACAAAAGGAAAAATTACCAAATGAAGGTTCAAATACCGAATATTTTAAATTAATTACCAGAATTATGTTTTTATTATTTTTTTACTCAGAGTAATTTACGATACTAGCATTTATCGTAGGTCTGTATCTGCAGCTGATTTGGCAGTGTGTTACTTATGTTATCATTTTTATTCAAAATGATTCTCTTAATTTTCTTATTTAGATCTAAGCCCTTTGACTCAACTTAGGTGCATCTAGACATTTGACGATTACAAGAGATTTTAAAACAAAAATTTTGTAAACATTTTTAAAGCAAAAAATTTTTTCATAAAAATTTATCAGCATTTCATCGTAAAAAATACAAATTCGCTATTTTTTTCATATTTAAGCACTCTGAGAAAAAAGTTTGAACAAAACTACCAGAATATAGAGGAATTAGACGTGTTTCTGGTTTTATGGGAACACCAAGAACTCGGTAATTTCTACCAAAGCGCTTCGGTAAAGATTTTGGTAAAATTATCAATAAAATATGGTTCTATAATATGAGATAAAATTTGGTAATTTTATCATGATACCTCAGAGTATGAAATAAAAATCATTTATTTTGTCAAATTTACTTTTCAATTTCGTATTTTTGCTAAATGTGTTGTAATAAAAACTGTAATTTTGAAAACCAAAATTTCCGGTAATTCCTTACCATATGAAAGAAAAACTACCGATTAAATGGGTACCTAATATTTTGGTTTTTAATTCCAGAATTATGTAGTTCTTTTTTACCAGATATGTAATTACCCTACAGTGCGGTAAATTTACCTGAATGTTTTTGCCCGTGAACATTCGTAATTTTTTAAAATAAATATTTTTCAAAAAGTTCTTTCAGGTACCGCAAAAGTTATATTCTATTGTTTTAGATTAATTTTTAATTCAAAAATATTTGGAAAACTATAATTTAGAATGAAAAACTTAACAAATTTTTCAAGTAAAAGGCAGTCCTTATTTAACAAATAGAAGATGAAACTGTGAAACGCTCGAAAGAAAAAGAAAAAAACAAGCTATTATGAAACAAGATGAAATTCGGTAACATTATTTATTTTTTTAGGGTTTTAAAAATGCAGAAGATCTAACTGGTGAACTGTGGGTACTTACAGAAGATCCTCGGCATCTAAACGTCGAACGTCTTCACGAAGCCACGAAGCAAATTGAAGGAGTTCTGGAATATGCTCTTTATGACAAAAAAGTATTCATTCATCTATAATTTATGTTGTAAATTATTCTGTCATTCATACTTATTATTACATTATAGTTGATAACATTGACCTTTTAAAGTTCAGTGAATGCGAGGATTTACTCCTGCATCCATTAAAAAAATGTTTTAATTGCTCTTAAAAAGTAGCTTCGAGATTGCTAACTATATCTTTTAAAGATTTTATATTATTATTTTAAATTATATATTACGGTATACCCCCAAATCACCGACGATTTGAAAAAATGTTTAAAATTGAAAAAATATAAAGATTCATGGTACGCTAGGTTCTGTTACAAAAATCACAGCCGATTTAAATATTCTTCAAAAAAAATGAGAGCAGAGAGATATTTACAGCTTGCTGCATTCTGCTTTGGAAACAAAATTTTTCTCACCAAATTTTTAATTTAAGTATAGAGAGAGAGAGCAAGCTTAAATATGGAGCTGTTAACCTGTAATTTTAAAAAAACAATATTTAATTATTTTTGCCAGACAAATACAACAGAATTATTTCGAAAAATGTAACTGTTTTGCCAATTGCCAAGCAGTATAAATAAGTAAAGATATATATTTGTTATTCTTTTANATATATAGAGAGAGAGAGAGAGAGAGAGAAATAGATAGATAGATATATCATGAGAATCTGTTAATTTTGCTATCAGACTATTACAACGATATTAATAGAAAGAATGGTAATCTTATAAGCATTATTTTACTTTTTCCCATTTTTTTTCTTAGTGAATACCAACACTATATATAGAAACTGTGTAACAGGTTTTGAAACATAACGAAGACAAATAAACTGGTTTCTTTAATACAGTGCAGCAAATCGTTCATTACTGTCTTCTATCGTTTTTTTTTTTTTAAATATTTTATGTCATCGATTATTTTTTGGCATACATAGCATGTTATTTTATGCTAAATAAATATAATTAACTTATTTGCAATAAGAGAAGGTAGTAAGCCTTATATAAACAAAGTACCCCATTTCTAGTAGCAAACATTCAATAAATGTAAAGCATGCTCCTATTTAAATTCAATTCCTTTGAATAAATTTTTCCTAGCATCTAACTTAGCATCTAAAAGTTTATCTTAAACATTGGTATTTTCTGTTATAAAGCATATTTGTTATAATTTGACGCAATGCAGAACTTTGAAAAGATTACTCACATAAAACATACACATGAATAAAGGATTTACAAAACATTTTTCCCAAAGAAACTAAAATTCACCCTAACTACTGCAAACACCCCATTTTAAATTCCGTCTATGACAAAAATATTTATACTCTAAAACTAAATTTATCGACTTCGTGTTTTGAAATCTGAAATATTTTACTAAACCAGCACAATTGTACTTACAGGTAATGATATTAAAGTGATGACTTACAATTTTTTATATGCTATCTTTTGCAGATCGCCCATAACATGTTATCAATAGTGAGTAATATGTTAGCAATCAATGAATCTCTATTATGGACAGGCGACCATAATGGAACAGCTGTTACTAGGTACGTATGTAACTATTAATTAATATTCTTTTTTCTTTTATTGAAATGAATACCCTTACAAACGCTTATGGTATTTTTGAGGTTTATTTTAGATTGTTTTGAGATGTTAAGTTTGACTTGAGGTTTATCTGAAGTTGACTTTTAAAAAAAACTTAAAATATCAACTTCCCAACGTGTATGAGGTTGATTTATTCACAATTGAGGTTAATAAAAATCTACTTTAGTGCAACCAACTAAGAGAGGTTGTTTTTAAGGTGTACAGCGTCCAAAAGAAAAAAAAACATCAGACCACCCTGAATAACTTTTGATCTAAGTGATGATCGGATCCTCACGTTCCAGGACTCAATCCTAAAGGTTCGAAGGAATAACCTCAAATATGCTAATTAAAAAGTGCAGACGATATTTTAAGTTACAAAATAAGGCACAAAAACGTACTTTATCCAAATAAACATACTTTTTTTTCAACAGATTTGGATTTCAGACCCCCAAAATATAAGGGATAGCTGCAATCTGGAAAGTATGAACCCCGTAGTTTGGTCAGGAATGCGATCCAAAGTTTGGACCTCTTAATGTTAAATTTACTTTTTGCATATTTCACAATATCTTCAGCATTTTTTAAGCGAATTGAAATTTTTCTGCTCATAATTATAAAATTCCTTTATCCTTAGATAATTCAATACAAAAAATAATTTTTAGTAATCATTGATTAGTTTTTAATTATTTTATTTAGTAATAGTCGGAAAAATTCTGAATTGTAAAATAAACAATTTTTATATCATTTTAAAGTGTCTAATTTTATTTGGAAAAATACAAAATTTGAGCAAAATCGGTTGCCTAGTTCCTGAGAAATTGAATTTTAAATATACGACTTTTCTGAAATTTGATTTCTCAAGAACTATTCAACCAATTTTACTAATATTTTGTATTTTGCCATGTAAAATTAGATACTTTAAAATGATGTAAAAAAATTGTATACCTTACTATTTAAATTTTTTCGCCTATTATTAAATAAAATAATAAGAAAATAAAAAAAGATAAGAAGTACTGAAATTTGGTTTTTGCACAAATTAATCTTATAATTCCGTGCAAAAAATTAATTCGCTTAAAATTTACTAGAACACCTTACACCGAGATATAGTGAAATTTGCCAAAATTAAAACTAACATTAAGGGGTCAAAACTTTGGAACACTCTCCTGATTAAACTATGGGAACCATATTTCCTAGATAACGGCTTTCCCCGATATTTTGTGGACCAGAAAACTGAATTTGTTGGAAAAAAAAGGTATTTTTATCCAGAGAAGTTACGTTTTTGTGTCTGATTTCATAACTTTTTTATCGTCTGCGCAAATCAATAAGCATATTTGAGGTGACTCTCTTCAACCTTTAAGATTGAATCCCAGAACGTAAAGATCCGTTCATCAGATCAAAAGTTATTCAGAATTACCCTTTTTTTTCATGTTATTTTTTCAACATTTCAAGTAAATAAGTATCTTTGAGGTATGAATAATTTTACCCGATCTCAACTAAAAAATTGCTGAAAATATGATTTTGATTTTAGTAGGTGTAAATGATGTTGGAGTTAAGGTTCATTAATTAGGTTATTTTTTGTGCAAAACATAACCTCATTTACCACCTCAGGTGTGTTTTCTACGCATGTCAACCTCAAAACACCTTATTTTTTGGAAAGAATAAGTCCTGATTAATTGCAATCACTGAGTCATCTCATGAATGACTATCTTTTATACATAATAAGAGATGTTTTTGGTTAAATTATTTATTTTTCCATATTCTCGAAATATTTTTCTACATTACTACATCTTTTCTACATTTTACACTCCAAAGATAAGATATTTTAAACCTCAGATAAAGTATTAATAAAAGAAAAAGGAAGAATTGGTCTATAAAAATTAAGATTACAATAAAGTTTCTTAATTTTTAAGTCAGTTTTTATTTAATACTTAAACAAATTGAATTAAATATTCTAAAACTGAATCAAATATTCTAGAACAAATATGCCTTTTTCTATTTACAATAATCAGAATCTTAGATCTCAGAAAGATATCAACATCTAGTTTTCTAAATTTATTATTATTTAGTTCAATGATATTTATTTGTAAAATAGTTCTTCTGATTAAAATTTACCTCCAGGGGGCTTTATTTCTTAGATGTGACTGTTTACCGAAGTTTTCAACTCATCAATAAATAAGCAAATATTGATGAAACTTATAATTATATTGTAACAATATTCCTTAATAATAAAAAATATTCCTTAATAACTAATTAAATTCTTAACCACATTTCTTAACCACAATAAATTCTAATTAATAATTAATATTTATCGTTATGTTTGCATCAATGGACTTTCAATTAAAAGTGAAAATAGTATGAAGTGTAAATATGTATTGTAAATATAAAACATGTATATTAATCTGCATCCTAGCTTGTAGATTTTGATACATTGTATATGCAAGATGATATTGATGTTCTTCCTAGTTTATGTTTATAATTAAAGAATGAACAAAATAACAATCTATAAACTAATCTGAAAACTAATGAATTTTATTTAAATATTTTAAGAGTAAAATTTAAGAAAACTAAATGTCGATTGATTACGATTTTAGTAAGTATTTCTATTTCTTAAACAGTAACATAGTTCATACGGATATCAAGACATGCTTTAATTATTTTAAATTCTACTTATAATTGTGTCATTAAATATATCTTTTAGTAATTCTCCAAAATAAAAGTATTTTTATCATTTTTTTTTTTCGTTTCTTTTTTTACCTCTGCCTTAAGAAAAGTACTTTTACATAAAGTTAGGATGAAAAGAATATTAGCATAAAACACAAACTGATTAAATTTTTATAATTTTTCTATTTAAATTTATTTCAAACTAAAATTACTTCATAACCAAGACTGGACTTAACATTTTATGTAATCAAAATAAATTCCTTTCGCTATAATTTCGGTTTCAAACAAGTTAATGTATGACATCCACTTTTTAAAGGTTCATAATTCACCTTGTTTGGTGAGTGTATACACCTGTTTCTGCTGCAGTTACAGCATACGGTCCCAATTGCTCAGACGGTTATACGGTCACATGACATACGGTCCCAAAAGCCCAGGGCTTAATCCTAGCAAGCGTCAAAAACGTATCTCTCACACGAACTCCACATTGATGACCAAGGACAGCAAAAATGCACCTCTAACACTCCTCATATTGCAACACTACACATTTTTCCACTGTTTGTCTTGATTTAACAAACAAAACATCTTAGTCATGAGCCAAACTGAAGTTAACTTTTACGAACATGTTAATTTATGATCAGCTTTACGAAAATAAGCAAAAAATCGAATGGAAGACCTGCACTTTTATGACTACGATAGCTTTACGGATATAATTTTGATTTTACGGTCAGTAACTGGAACACTTTTTGCCTGTCACTTACTGTAATCTAGATGTGAAATCTTTTAGACAATGCAAGTTGCAATTGCTTCGTAAATGTAGCGAACAAAATCTACCCTACTCGGAGAAAAATAATTCTGGAAAAATTACAGTACAGTATAGTAATGATATTTCTGGTAAAAACTAAGACAAAATTCTGGTTAATAAATCAAAATATACGTTATTTAAACCATTCATTAGGTAAATTTTTCATTCATACTATAACGTTTTACTGGAAATTTTGGTTTTAAAAACTTATTACTTAACCCAAACCAGAAGACAAGGGAGCTTCTAAATCAAATAGTGGAGGAAGTTTACCTTCGTGGAGTACTTCTCGATAGAACTAACCCTCATTTGCGTTACACAGAGAGAAATGAAGCAAATTATTTGACACAAAAAAAATTTGTACAAAACAAAATAATGAGAAAAAAAACTTCGTTTTTCTTGTGGACTTAAATGGACCTCATCCAGCCTAAAGCTAAAAATATAAGCCGAAGTTCTTAGTTTTAAGCGCAACTAAAATATAATTTTTTTTTTCATTTTTAGTTCACTTTAATAACGTAGTTTTTAAATTGTATTTAATAATCGTATATATTTTAATAAATTATATTTATAAATTGCAATTTTGTATTTATTGTTATTATATATTGCTTTTCCTATTTTCTCTTAGGATAACGGATTTGGTGGATAAATTTGCATCGGAAGTAAACTTAGAGAAGGGTGAAGACATTCAATTGGAGACGGAGAACCTGGTGGTCAAGGCTGTGTCCTGGGATCCGGAATCTAATGGCCTTAATGGAGAGGACTTGACCTTCTCTGTCCACTACCAGGCACGACAAAGAAGAGAATATACGAGTAAAGGAAGATATAGGCCATTACCTCCTTCGCAATCTTTCTGGGATGAGGAGAAGTCATCATTTTATAATGTAATTACTTATTCCAGATTAACTTATTCTAAATTTACTTATTCTAAATTACTTGCTATTTGTATGTTATAATGCTTATGTACATTGACAAATGCTGGATTGTTTGTATTTGTTTGTATTATTATTGTTTTGTATTGCTAATGTTTAAATTATTCTGGATTTATATTTCATTTTGCATTATTGTGTGTTGCTACTTTTTTAATTTTACTAGATTTTTTTTTGTATTTGTTTGTAGTAATATTGTATATAAATATTCTTTAATTTCTGCTATGGTACTATGTAATTGTAATACTATGTGTATTACTATGTAATACTATGTTTATTACTATTACTTTTTTAGTGTTAGGATATTTGTATTTTTGTTTTGTGTTATTATTTTGTATTGTTGTTCGTTAAATTAAGGTGGATTATCTGTATTTCTAGGATGTTCTATTATTCCATTTGATTCTCTTTAAATTATGATAGATTATTTGTAAGCAATTTTAGTATTGTGTATTTTCATTGAAAATTTCGAGCCATGCCCATCTTCTTAAATACGCGTTTTAAACTATATCTATTTTTTAATACGCATTTTAAGCTAAATATATTTCTTAAATACGTATTTCTAGCTATATATATTTTTCTTAAGTGCGCATATTGAGCAATGTCCATTTTCCAACATCCCCATTTTGAGCTATATCTCTATTTTCTTAAATACGTGTTTTGAGTTATATCTATGTTCTTAAATATGTATTTTTAGCAATATCCTTTTTCTATGAGCTTTGACCTGAATAAAAACTTCCGACGCAATGTAGATCGATGTGATACGATCGATATTCCATTACTATAGTACATATTATTTAATTATGAGATCTATATGGTGTTTTTAGAAAGGCAAATGATCCTAATAATTTACAATAGAACTATGTAAAAAATTTGCAAAACTAAATATTTTTTAATATCATTTAATATAAAATATTTACTTATAAATTCTTTAATAAAAAATATAATACTGCACGGATAAAAAAAATTCTGGTAAAACTGCCATACGGTATAGTAATGACATTTTTGGAGAAAAAGAACTTCATAATTCTGGTTAATAAAATCAAAATGTATGATACTTATTTGGATGAAACCACTGATCTGCTAATTTTTCTGTTTTTATAGTAATGGTTTTCCAGAAATTTTGGTTTTCAAAATTATAGCTCTTATTATAATGCATTTAGTAGAAATACAAAACTGAAAAATATGAAAGGTTTTTGAATGAAAGGTTTTAGCGCCATGCTCTAAGGTATCATGAAAAAATTACCTAGCCTTACCTCATTTACCAAATTTTATCGCATCATATTATAAAACCCTATCTCATTGTTAATTTTGCCATATCATTACCAAAACACTTCGGTAAAAACTACTGAACTTTTGGTGTTTCCATAAAGCCAGAAACATGGTAAATTTTACCACATGCTGGTCATTCCGGCTATACTTTTTTCGTTATTGTGGAAATTAATAATTGTTTCTCTGTATTTCATAAAAAATAATTGCTCTCTTACCGTTTTGTGATTGAACAGAAAACTAATATGACATGATTATTCACAAGAAAAGAAGATCTTGAAAGAAGATCATCAGCATAAAAATTAACAAAAAAAATTAAAACGATACTTATCTGTAAATTAATTTTTCCTTTAATTAACGGTATTTATCAGAAAGTGTTAATTATTCAAAATCAAAGACTTAAAATTTAAAAGTATTATTTCTTTATTATATTATAAGGAATTAGTGTAACATTTATTATGCAGCAATTTATTGTAATGAATACATAATTATGGTTTTAATATTTCAATAGAATTCAAAAGAATGTTGTTAAGTTTTATTAAGGATTAATTTTTGGCACTAGAGCTAAATAATATCAATAATAATGGTAATATAAAAAAAATTAACAGATTTTTAAATTAACTAGAAATTAAATCAGAATTTAAAAACAAGTAAGTGGAGGAAGTTGAGATATTAGCAAAACAAAATTATTAGATTTAAGCTTTTTCTCAATTTAATCAGGAGCTAAACTCAAAGAAACAAATCTGTATTAATACAACCAAGAAAAAAAATAATTTTTAGTTTTTGGGAAACAATCTGTTTAACACCACGAAATAAAAAGGGTTGCAAAGCACTGAAAGAAATAATGATCAAAACTACCAGAACAAGGTAAAATTTACCGCGTTCCTGGGTCTATGGGAACACCAGAAAACTCAGTAATTTTTACGGAAGGGCTTTGGCAATTATTTTATAAAATTAGCTATAAAATATAGTTTTATAACATGTGAAAAATTTGGTAGATGTGGAAGAAATCTGGTAATTTAAAAAATTGCTTGAAAAAATTTGGTATCTTAGAGCATGGCATAAAAACCCTTTATTCAGTTATGTTCACTTTCCCGTTTTGTATTTTTACTAAATGTGCGACAATGAGAATTATAATTTTGAAAACTAGTATTTCTGGTAAACCATTACCATATGAACGGAAGAATTACCAAATGAATGTTTAAAATACCGTATATTTTAAATACTGTTAATGACCAGAATTATGTTTTTTTTATTTTATTTTTTTTTTATCTTTTTGCTTAGAAAAGTAAATATTAATCAATACGGAAATTTTACGATGTTTTTTTTCTTGGTAGAACTTAAATATTTAACTGTAATTAAATTAATTTTCTTATCATGTATTAAAAATGGGTTTAAAGATCAGAATTAATATTTGTTTTTATATTTTAACAATATTTTTGCGTGTGTGTTTTCTTGGTAATTAAACCGTTAAACCGAAAAACCGTTTAAGGTGCTTTTGAAATTTGTTTCATGAAGTTTTAATAGTCTTTCTATAAGAAATATTAAATGCAAACTGTCAGGAAAATGTAAAAAATTTATCTATATCATAAATATAACTATGAGTAGTTATTATAACTATTATAGTTAAATATAATTGACTACTTTATCATATGCGATTATTTAGCAACCTTTTTTTTGTAATGATTAACAAAGAGTTTATGCTAAGACCACATTTCGTTCATTTTTATTATTTTATTATATCCTTCATTAATTAAAAATAAAACCTCTATTACCTAAATGATATTTATTTTTAAAACAGCATTATTTGCTGTCAAATATTTATTTAAAAATGTATAGTTCAATTGAATTAAAATTTTTGTATTAACAATTTCTTACTGATGTTCTTACTGACCATGCAGTAAATAACTGATACTCTTACTGAGCAAAATATATTATTCATAACTTGTATGTTATACATGACAAACATACGATTTTAAACAATTAAAAACATTTTTAAATATTAAATATGAGAGAATAGTCTTTTATAGAAGCATATTGTATAGCAGAAAATTTATCTTTTGATTAAACCTATATTTATGCAACTTAATTATTGAATTTCCCTAAAAAATTTACTTACAACTTATGTAGCTTTTTTTTAGACATTTCTCGACTTTTATGTAACATTTCTCTAAAAATTAATACTGGGTTACCTCAACGTACCCATAAAAACGGAAGACGACAAAAATATATAGTTTGCTGCGTTCTGTTTAGAAAACCGCTTCCTTTATTTTTAGCAATTTTTAAAATGAGTTAATAATTCTGCCAACAAGTGGTACTGATAACTTCAAAAAAAAACTAACAAACATTTTTTTTTTAAGTTTTCAAAATAACCACCATTTACTGCATTAGTGCAATCTGTGGAAAAAATAACCGATTTATTTGCAAATAGTTAAGCTGAAATGGTCTTCATCAAAAATCATTGAATTCAGTTGTGCAATCTGTTGAAGAACTTTGAAATTAATATTGAAATTTGGTTTAGTAAGTTGTCTGCCTTCCATATCAAACACGACATTTCCAACTTACATAGCATCCAGAAAACGACATTTCCATCTGCTACCATTTTCCTTAAATTCATAATCATTGACCATGAATAATCATTTGTTATTGATAATCATTGGTCAATCGTTGATAATTTTTGAAATACCCAGAACAATACATTTTTTTGTAATTGTAATTGAAACAGATGTAATTGAAACGGATGTTACTTTACCTTGCAGGACGCTGAATTGACAATTCCTGTCGAAGCACTTCTGTTGGCCCAAAACCAAACATATCAGGAGCTTAGAGTTAAATTCGTAGCCTACAAAAACGATAAGTTTTTCCGAGAAAAGTCATCAGCCAGGTGGCAACTATGCTACGACCGCGACAACTATCGAAGAAGATATAATTGTCTTTATACCGGTACATCAGGATATCCAGGTAATGTATTTCCTTAAAACTGAAGTGCTTTGCTTAAGAGCATATTTGGTAAAATTATGAAAATAGGCTTTGGAATAGGATGTTCTTTTAGGAGAAAAAAAATTTAAGATACCTTAAAAAAAAAATTAAGGATTTCATGAAGAACATCTCCTAAAATTTAAGATTAAAATTTAGATGTTCTTCGTGTTGTACGCTGCTGTTCCTGAATTATGCTTCGAGTTAACATTTCGTTATATTGTCTTAATAACTACAACTGAATAACTGACTATCTTCTTAAAATTCATATTGAAATTGTAGAGACATGCTAACTAGTTAAAGTAGCATGTTAATTGACTGCTAAAATGTATGGAAGAAATTGTTTACATGATATGAAAGAAACTGAAATATTTATTTCAATTTTCTTAATGGTATTTCCATTTTTATGCTATTAAAATTTAAAATATTAAATTTCTCATAATGTAACTTAACATGCTCATCTATTAGTTTCTTCCTCAAACTTGACTCTCTGATTATTTTCCTTAAATTCATATTGAAGTTGTCAAAAAGTAGTTAACTAGTTAACCAGTTAAAGTAACATGCTAAATGAATTAGAAAAAAATTATCTTTAGAATATACAGAACAAGCTGTTTTTGAAGTATATTCCAATTTTCCTTAAAAACCATAGCTTGGCCCAATAATTTAATGTTTTATGTTAACAGACGACCGTAATTTGTTATTAAACTTAACAATTTGCTTGTTTTCAATAATCTTCTCATAATGTTCTTCTACTAATTTCTTAAATGGAATACGTGTCAATGGATATTGTTTTTAAATAAATAATCGAATTTGTCAAAGAACATACCCAGTCTTTACATTAATAATTGAAATCGTTGCTGTAGGCATGTTAAGTGAATTTGAAAAATATTAGCTTTAAAGTATTTAGGAAAAGCTGTATCCGAAATTACTTTCTACTTTCCTTGAAAACCACCTTATTTAGTAAATTTACATAACAAATTAAGGATTAATTAATAAATTAGTAATAATTTAATAATTAATTAATAAAGATTAATTAAAAGAGTAATTTAAACTTAAAGTCGATTATAACATATTATTAAAATCTAAAATTTGAGAGTTTTTATCTTTTTAAAATGAACTAATTTTTTTATTAATGAAACTGAATGTCTTTAAATGTAAAGTGAATTTGAAGAAAAAAAATCAACTAAATGTATTTACTTGATTTACTAAATCAACTAAATGTACAACTTAGTAGATTTACATAACAAATTAATGATTAATTAATAAATTAATAATAAGTTAATAATTACTTAATAATTTATTAATAGAGTAATTTACACTTAAAATCGAGTAATTAATATTAAAATTAATAGGGTAACTATTATTAAAATTTAAAATATGTAAGGCTTTGTCTTTTTAAAATGCAATTATTTTTTTCATTAATGACACTGTCTTCTTTGAATTGCTAATTGAAATATGTTTGAAATAGGTCGCCGAGTACTTCAAGCCAGTATATTGAATGCCACAATTACTAATCTTTCAACGCCTTTAATGTATGTAATGCCATCACCGGCCAATGTAAGAGTTTATTGCACATATTGGAAAGAACATGGTAAGTAGTTTATCTTTAGAAAATATTTTCATGGCTTTATCAGGGTGGCCACCCACCTGGAAAACCTTGAAAACCTGGAATTATCAGGGAATTTTTTTTATACTGGAAAAAACCTGGAAAAATCAGGGAAATATGAATAAAAACCTGGAAAACCTGGAATTTTTAAAGAAAAGCTGGAAATTTTTTCTTATATATTTTTTTAATTTCACTAATTTAAATTATTTGCTAATTTTCTTAATTTAAATTGTTTCATCCATTATACCCACATTTTTTAGACGGAAATGTATCCCCAAACAGTTAAAATATCATCAACTTACTTTGCTTTCATCAAAATTTGCTCCATTATAACCCTGTTAAACTAGAATACAACATAAAATTCTCCCATGGTTGCTAAGCAAATGTCTTTGATCTCTATGCAGACTATGGGACTGTGCAATTTAGGAAGGGCAAAGATTATGGTGGATGTGGAAGACGGGGTTAGGATTCGGTTTTTAAATTCTGTCCGTGTTCACACAATGATTCAAGTTTGTTCGCAATTGAGAGTGGTAATTTTTTTCTATTTTGACAAAATGTTTTTGTATTTTTAACTTTATTAAATTCTCTAAAAATTAGTTGGTTATAATTTAATAATAATAGATTTTATATTGCACTCTTTTTCTGAAAGCTTTTCAACTCCCATTCAAAGAAATCTGTAAATTATTTTTTCTCAGCAAACCAACCAATCACGCATTTCCCCCCATCACTAACAGCAATGTTTGTCGACAAATTGTTACAATTCTTGCATTAATGCTAATTTTTTCTATTTCATTTTAACCTTTTATAGTATATTTTTATTTTGAAAAAAGTTTTTTTTTGAACTAACTATATATTAATATCAAATTTTACGGTTTTGTTGGTAAATATTAGTTTTTTGATTCAAAATTCGAATTGTATAGTTATCACAATATCGAAAGTTCGTAAATGTTGCTTGCATTCCAGAGATGATATTTCAAAACTATTCCTCTTTTTACCTAAAAAAGCTGACAATGACTAAGGAATATATAGGAAACGTATTAAATGATATATATACATAAAATATATATATTTTTTTATTCATATGTGTTTAGTCAAGAGAAGGAAAACGAAACTTAGTGTTTTAGTTCTGCACTGTACAAGATTCTAGTTGTTCAAACAGAAACAATTAACTATGCTGAACTAAAAAACTGTGTGTTTAGATTGGAATTCTTTAAATGTTTTAAATTCAAATAAGAAAAAAAATCAAAAAAGTATAAATTTTAAGGAATTTTATCTATTTTTTTTCTTCTATAGAGTATAGAACTAAAAATTAGACAATTTTACATTTCTGACATTTATTTTTTTATACTGTATCTCTTAAAATAAAAATGCTATTTCAAAATACCATTATTTAAAAATTTGACTTGAGATATTGGTTTAAGGAAAATATGATCAGTGAATTTTATAAAAAGCACTGGTAAGATGAAATACAGTATTATGCAGTATACAGTACAGCTTTATATTGAATTGTAATTACAGTGATTCACAAAAGTGTTGATACACTTATGACTTTCAATGAAATAAGACTATCCATTAATTAAAATGAATGTTTCAGAATGTATATTTAATGATAAAAAATGTGTTCTAATCTTAACAAAACTGAAATATTTTAAATGACAATATGAAATATTTTAAAAACAAAGGAAAACTTTATTTTTAAGGAATCAATCATCAAAAAGTGACAAAAACTTTATCCCACAAAAGTCATCATACACTTTTAAAGAAAAAACTCAGTCTATTAGTAATCTAATTTTTCGTTAAATTAACATTTAGTGGAGTTTCCTTTAGCATCTACAATAGCTTTTAAAGGTTGAAAATACGTGTAACTAGTTTTTTTTTTTCAGGTGAAATTAGTGCAGAATATTTTTTTAAATTTTTTACAGAAACTTTTACAACACTCAATTGCAAATTTATGAATTTTTCCACAAAATTTATAATTTTAATCTCTGATATGAAGTCCTTCTTTTAAGCATTTTATCACATATTGCACAGTTCAATTGAATACAGTAAACTAATTTAACATATTCATTACTGATTTACCTCTTATGAAGACAAATAATCAAATTTGGTCTATTTTATTACGACCACAAGTCATTTTTAAATGATAAAATAAAATATTACGGAGTTAGCAAGCAAAAATTAAAATATAATTTTGCTATTATAGGTTTGATACTAAATTGCTAATAAAGAAATAAAAAATTAAATGAAAAATAATTAAATAAAAAAAGCAATTGACGATAATTTTAATTCTGAGATCCAAAACATTTAAATGTACGATGACTTTCGTGGGGTAACATTTTTGTTACTATTTGATTAAAAAATTAACTTTTGCTTTGTTTTTAAAATATTCCGTGCAGTTTTGCTAAGAATAGATTATACATCTTATTATCAAATACCCATTGTGAAATATTCATTTTAATTATTGAATTTTTATTTCCTATTTCAATATAAGTTATAAGTGAGTGAGCACTTTTGGGAGCCACTGTAATTATTAAAAATTATTGATATATAATCACCTGAAACGGTTTTCTTTTCCTTAATGAAAATATATTAAACAATACTTATACAAGGTTTTATTGGTTATTCTGATTTTGTCATTTTGTAGGTACACTTTGAGCAAATACTACTTAAAGTAACACATTAAATTCAATAAAAACAATTAAAATTATTCAATAAAAACAATATATTCTGCAAGCTAAACATATTATTTTCTCCACGTCTTAATTTTTTAAAAATTAATGTTGTACCAGAACATTAAAAAATAATAAAAAAATAAATTTTTTTTCATGTTTGATATGTTTAAAAAAATGACATTTTGAATAGGATATTTTATAATACAGACACTTTTCTTGTTCACATCCTACACTTTATAAGAAAAAAGGAAAAAAACACAAACCTGGAAATTTTAAGATTTTTACCTGGAAAACCTGGAAAAATCAGGGAAATTTGAAATCTGTTTTCAGTGGCCACCCTGTTTATGTAATAGGAAAGTCATGAAAACCTGTAAAAGGCACAGATTAAAAACATTACAGCTGTTTAGATGCTATAAATAAGTATGACCGTCGAGGCAAAACTATATTCTCTTGATTATCCTGTTTTTGCTCTTATTAGGGTGCTTAGTTATAGTATCGCAACGGGTGAATGTTTTTTATTTAATTTTTTTTCTTTAGTTGCACTTTTACATTGTTTTATGTGTTACTCATATTAGCTTAATAAAAAAAATCTATATAATGCTTCTTTCAAATTATATATTACTACCGTCATTTTTCTACAATTTTAACTGAGTTAATCTTTCTTTGTCTAATTAGTTTTTTTTTTTTTTTTTTTTTTTCTGTGTGTGTGAGTATTTAGNTTTTTTTTTTTTTTTTTTTTTTTTTTTTTTTTTTTTTTTTTTTTGGTTTGGTTAGTTTTTAATGTTTTTTAAAGTGTATAAATAATTACTTCAAAAAAAATCAAAAGATAATTTCTGCATGCTCTCAACTTTATTTTATTATTATTTATTTGTTTATTTTTATTTACTTAGTTTTGTTTATTTATTTTTTTTTATTTATTTATTTCTTACATTTATTATTTAAATTTATTTCATTTCCTTTATTTATTTATATACTTGATTTATTCATTTATTTTATGCATTTTTACTCTTTTATTTACATTTATTTAATTATTTTTATCTATTTATTTCTCATATTTATTTTCCCTTATTTTTTACTTATTTATTTATTTATTTTATTTTACTTTTATTTATTTACTTTTTTTTTTCTTTTTCTATTGACTACTGAATTTTATTTTTACAGGACACATGTTTAGCTATTTTAATTTTTTGCGACTTTTTTTTTATTAACTTTCATGAACTCATACTAAACAAATTTCTTTGAAATACAGTTTATTTCTTTATTTTAATATACTTATTTAAAAGCTATGAGAACTTTGGATGTATGTTTGTTATATTAAGTATAGTGTATTCTTGTATTTATCTTTCGTTATATGTCTCTTTGCCATAACTTTTCTTTGGATAGGATATAATTGTGCAAAAATTTTATCAATATTTTCACCAATGTTTTTTAAATCATGCTGCTGCCATCTATATTCAATGATGAACACCTGAAACTCTAATTTCGCTCTTTATAGCATCTCCAGCTAATGAAAGAATGGAAAATAAATAAGCATCAAATAAAACTTTTCTTTTGAGACTGGAAAATAAAAATATTTTTCTAAGTGTGCATAAAATAAATTAACGCGTTATCATATATTTTACAATACCAAGAATTAGTTAGAGATTGATGCAAATGTCATATTCCTAAACTAATCTACTAACAAGCCTATACTTTTATTTCAGAACGTGTATGGTCAACGGATGGATTGATTACAAATCAAAGTGGAAATTCTACATTATGTTTATCTTCTCATATGACATCTTTCTCACTGTTATTTGTACGTATGAACACATTAATTTATTTGCCATATTTGCAATCTGAATATTAAATTTTTGTGTCATATTTGCAATCTGAATATTTGTGGCGTAAATACCACTATAAATATTAAATACCAATTCACTAGTATATAAGACATGTTAACTTGATTCTATCACGAGGTACCTTTTGATAGATGAAGGTTGACATAGTTGATTTATAATTCCCCACATTGGTGACCTATGGACGTGATAAATAATAGTCAATATTGATGGATGAATCCACATTAAACAGTTGATTTGCTTTAAAAAAAATATACTGCTCAAAAAAAAAAAGAAATCCGGTGAAGTAAATAAAGTCTCCCTATTAATAAATAATAATGAGCGAAATGCTAGAAAAAAATAATAATAGTGGAAAGCTATAAAAAAATGATGGGAAAAAATTGCGAAAAGCTATAAAAAAATAAATAAAATAACGAGCGAAATGCTTAGAAGAAAAAATAAAAAATATAATGAGCAAAAATTGAAGTTAATAAATAAGAAGCATTAATCAACTAGTGGTATCTGTTCATCGAATTCTATCACAGATAAAATTCTGGAAGGGGAGTATTGTGGCGTAACTACCACTATAAATATTAAATACCAATTCACTAGTATATAACGCATGTTAACTTGATTCTATCACGCGGTACCTTTTGATAGATGAAGGTTGACATAGTCGATTTATAATTCCCCACATATTAAACTTTTCTGCCATGTTTACAATATGAATATTACATTTCTTTACCATATTTGCAATCTGAATATTAAACTTTTATGCCATGTTTTCAATATGAATATTAAACTTTTTTACTGTGTTTGCAATATGAATATTAAACTTTTATGCCATGTTTGCAATCTGAATATTAATTTTTTTTGACATATTTGCAATCGGAATGTTAAACTTTTTTGACATATTTGCAATATGAATATTAAACTTTTCAGCCATATTTGCAATATGAATTTTGAACTTTTGTGTCATGTTTGCAATCTGAATATTAAACTTTTCTGCCATGTTTACAATCTGAATATTAAACTTTTATGCCATGTTTTCAATATGAATATTAGACTTTTTTACCATGTTTGCAATATGAATATTAAACTTTTATGCCATGTTTGCAATCTGAATATTAATTTTTTTTTACATGTTTGCAATCTGAATGTTAAACTTTTTTGACATATTTGCTATATGAATATTAAACTTTTCAGCCATATTTGCAATATGAATTTTGAACTTTTCAGCCATATTTGCAATATGAATACTAAACTTGTTTGCAATCTGAAAATTGAACTTTTAATTTTCTAATCTTATATTTATATATTTAAATTTTATTTATTTAAATTTAATTTGAAATTTACAAATGATGGTACCTGATTTGACAAACACTGATCTTAAAGTGATTTTATATTGTGTCTTAACTAATCCCTTTCTTTATATGGAGAAAACAAAATAGCTAGAAAAATTAATTAAGTAGTTTTACAATGCAATTGCTAAGTTAATGTATTTTTAATGCTTCTAGATTATAAAATTTTTATCTTGACAGGATCCGTCTCCAAATGAAGGAATCAACCCTGATCACTATTTCACTCTCTCAATAATTTCTTATGTTGGCTGTGGATTATCTATGCTTGGACTTACATTGACTATCATAACTTATTCTTTATTCAGGTAATTATAAATCGCCATTTATCTCTCACTCTTTCGTGATTAATTTGTCGTGAGCAATGCTCCCTTGTCAGAAAAATTTAAAACATAATTATATTTTATAAACTCACAGTTTCAAATTGTATGAATTATATTTAAATAATTCAAAAAGAGATTTTTAATCAATTATAAGAAATTTAATATTTAATTGTACTTGATCGGCTCCAAATTACAAAAATTATTTTATAAAAAGAAAAAGAAAAAAAACATAAATTTATTAGATACTTATGAGATACGATATGTTTAACAGGAAAAAAAACGCTTAATAAGGAAGACAAATGATAGAAATTATAACTCATTTAAAATAATAATAATGTACTTAAACTTTAAATAAATGAACTATAGAATTAAAAGATATGTTATAGAAAGTATGCACATAAATTTGGTTAATCGTATTTAATTACGCTATCAATTCATTTTAATCATTAGTTGCGATTTCTTGATTACATCTAAAATTAATTTTGTTTTTTTCATGTTATAATAGGAAGAAAGTTAACCGATTTGTTCCTTTTAACTGACGATATAATATTATAGACTTTCTCTCTTTTTCTATTAATTCTCTATTAATTTAATTGGTGATATTTAATCTTCATAAATAAAGAATATTAAAAATACTTTCATATCTAATTATTTTAAATTATATTTGATATTTAATGACTATTAATTACCTTTCGTGTAAATTAGGCATGTCGTTCATTATATATAGTGCTGCCATCTGTGAATAAAATTATAAACATTTTTGATGTAGAAAGAAAGTTTTCCATACTACTGCCTAGATAGCAGCACTAAACACTTTTTAGATGCCAAGTAGAGTAGTGTAAAAAAATAACAATGAAATGTTAAACTTACTATTACATACTAAAATATTTAAGCCGAAACATCATAAAGTATTTAAATATAATTTAAATAAGAGGAATACTATTTAATTTCAATCAAATTTTTTTGTTATTTTGTTTTATTACATAAATAAAACACATATAGCAGACAAGTTTTCTTTTTTTCTATTTTTTTTATCAAAACTCTTTTTGATAAATCTTTTTGTTATTTATTTCATGAAAAGAATAGAATAAAACAAAAATGTAATAAAAATTTGATAACTCTAACTTGCTCTATAACAATTTCAGCAAATTCAGTAAGTTGTCAAGTAAATTGTCTCAATTATTTAATACTATATTTACGTAATATTTACTATAGCTATACCATTTTTTCAAAGGATCCTAAATTATATTCAAGCGAAAAAGGGTTATTGAATAGAATAATTAGTGAATTAGACGGGGGGGGGACACCAAAACCTGTTTCATTTTTTTTTAATGAAACTAGGAGGTATTTCCAAAAAACGTTTTTTACTCATCTATGTTTACTCTGGTTGGTTTTTCACGTTTTGTCTCGGCTTCCCCAGCACTGATTTGTTGGATTTCATAACAACTAGTAATATGTGTACTTTGTATGTTTACTTTTAACAATAGTTCTAAATGCATAAACGTTAAGTGGTTTTTTAGAGAACTCTGTGAAACGTTTGCTTTCTCATTTAAATGCTGAATTTGCTTTCGAATTCCTGGAAAAAAAGGGATGGATTTGTTTTTCTTTGCAAAATATTCCGCATCAAATTACGGTATGAAATATCAACAATTTAAGCACATCATCCGTAAAATACATTTCACCGTAAAATACATTAATTATACTGGATTTCTTACGGTAATATTTAATTAGATTTTAAGGTAATTATCATTGTAAAAAATCCAGTTTATCAGAATTTTTATTCCGTTACATGCTTCAGTAAAACTAGATTTTAAAGTAAAAAATATCCGGAATTTTTACAGTATAAAATAATTGAAAAGTTTCATAAAAGATATTGAGAATATTTAAATATTAATTATTTTTTATGGACTCTAAAACTGTTTCTGACGCAATTTATGTCAAGAAACCTATTCACTGATTATTGCAGATAAGTTTTTACATTAAAAACTTCGAAATCTTTTTTCACTTTTTTTACTAATTTTTTTTTTCAGATGTTTAAATCGGGACCACCCGGGTCAAATTCTGATACAACTTTGTATATCCATGCTTATGATGAATACTGTATTCGTACTTGGATCACAAAGAGGTAGTATTTTAGGTGGTATAGATGTTTGCGTTACGGTCGCAATTTTGATACACTACTTCTTGCTGGCAACACTAACCTGGATGTGCGTTGAAGCTATTAATATGTATCAGCTCCTTATCCACGTCTTTGCAACTTCTGAATCACATTTCATGCTGAAAAGATCAGTTCTCGCTTGGGGTAAGTAAAATACTTGTTTCTAAAAAATCTGTAATTTAAAAACATAAATTCAAACTTCATTTTTTATTTGAATGCTAATAAAAGTTATTAGATTTTTAAAAATTTATGAGATTATTTAATACCGTTTATACTGTTGTTATTTTATACTGTTCTAGTCTGAAAATTTATTAAAAAATAACCTTCTCCTATCTTTCCCCCCCTCAATGATTCTTCCCCTCAATAATTCTGCATTTTTCATCCTCTCTCTCATCCATTATTCCTTTACTTCCCACCCACAACTGCAAAACGACTCTTGATTTAAATTTGTATTTTATAAAATAATTCAATTTATTGTAAATTTGTATTTTGAATTGATGAAATAATTCAATTTATTGTTAAAAAATCAATAATAAGAAATTAAGATTTTCCTTTGGCTAAGAATTCTGAAATTTGGCTGATACTTTTGATATTTGGCTAACTTACTGGCTAATAATTAAGTCCTTAGCAAGAGACCTGTAGGTGATATATCTTTTTTTTTCCACTCCCAATACACGCATTTTTCACTACCTTATTCGTTTTAAACTGATAAATATAATCTCATTTTCTCTCTATCATTTAAATAGTTTTATAATAGTTTTATAATAGTTATATCATTTAAATAGTTACTATAAGCAGTTTTAAGTTCGCTTAATGCGTAAATATGCTATTATTAGAATGAACTATTTATGTCATTTTTATGCTACAATAAGCATTACATATGTATTTCCTAGCTTTTGAAATTTCTTTTATTACTTAAACTTTTTTTTTAAATCATTCTTAATCGAGTTTTAACTAAATTAAATCAATTATTCAATTTTTATTACATTTTGTAAAAAGCTAGTATAAAATATTTTATTATTTTCTTAACAATCCATGTAACGGCTTACTTTTTATTCCAATACTAATGTAGACTCATTAATTCAATGTCCGGACTAAATCTAAAACAAAAATCTATTTATAACTACATTGATCGTTAAGAAAGGAATAAAATACATATTTTATACTCGCTTCTTATAAAATGTAATAAAAATTAAATAATTAATTTAATTTAATTAAAATTAGATTAAAAAAGATTAAAAAAATGTAAGTTTATGTAATTAAAGAAATTTTAAAAGCTAGGAAATACGTAATGCCAATTGTGGCAGTGCATATTTCCTAATGCCTATTGTGGCATTACATATTTCATTTCGACTGTTAATTTTTATGTCAGTATTTTTTGTGGATTAATGAAAATATAACCATTTTATTTTGTTCATTTTTAGGTATACCTTTCATTGTTGTTGGAATAACGGTGTTGATGGACTGGGAGGTTTACTACAATCAAAATGAATAGTAATTATATAATATATTCTATTACATTGTGTTTGTTTTTGAAATAAAATATAATACATACACTGAGAAAAAAAGTGTGGTCAAAATTATCAGAACATGGTAAAATTTACCGTGTATTTGGCTCTATGGAAGCACCAAACAGCTCGTTAATTTTTACCAGCGCTTTGGTAACGATTTTGTTAAAATTAACTAAAATAAGGTTTTATAAAATGAGATACATTTTGCTAAATAGGTAAAATTTAATAATTTTATCAGGATGCTTTAGAATATGGTGTAAAAGACATTTATTTGGTTAAATTTACTCTTCAGTTTTGCATTTTTTACTAAATGTGTGGTAATAAAAATTATAATTTTGAAAACTAGGGTTGCCTATAAACCTTTACTATATGACCGGAAGAATTTCAAAATGAATGTTTTAAATATCGTATATTTTAGTTATAACCAGAAATGTCATTACCATAGAATACGGTAATTTTACTAAAACATTTTCTCCTTTAACATTATGACATTGCTATTAAACAATAACATAATATATCTACTCATGAATATATATATGATAAGATGACAATTTTTTATAACAAGGAAATAAAACAAAAATATGTACATATTATTTGCTACTTTTGTTAGATTCATTTTTGTTACTGTAATAGATTATTTATTTCGATATCACTTTTAGACAGTAACATAATCTGCCTACTCATGATAATATGCAAAATAAAATTTTTGTTATTTGTAAGATTAATACATTTTGACATTGCTATTAGACAATAACATAATATGTCTGCTCATGATAATATGCAAGATAACCATGCTTTTTTTACTAGGAATAAGAATAGAAAGATGTATATTTTAATTGTTGTATATGTTAGTGTTAGATTAATACCTTTTGACATTACTCTTAGACAATAACATAATATATGTCTGCGCATGATAATATACAAGATAACCATTGTCTTTTTTTACAAGAAATAGGAACAGAAAGATATATATTTTATTTGTGATTTGTGTTAGAATAATTTTTGTTATTGTGTTAGATTAATACATTTTGACATTACTATTAGACAATACAATAATACATATACTCATAATATGCAAGATAATCATTGTTTTATAACGAGGAATAAGAACAGAAAGATATATATTTTATTTTTTATTTAAGTTAGATTAATTTCTGTTATTGTATTCGAATAATTTTTGTTATTGTGTCAGATTAATATGTGTTGACACTCTAATTAGACAATAACAATGTACATCTTCTTATGGTAATATGTACGGTAACCACAGTTTTATTACAAAGAATCCGAACAGAAAGATATATATGTTATTTGTGTTAGATGAAAATTTGTATAGTATTAAAAATATCGTTTTGTTTTTATTTTCAGTTGTATGTTGTCAGCTGCGAATCCATATGTCTATTACATCAGCTTTTTGGGTCCATCCTGCCTCATCTTATTCATCAATCTGACAGTATTTCTTATGGTCAGCAGGGTACTTTTCACCCCAAGAAACGTATCAGCTAAAAAACCTCCACAATGCACTAAAAAAGATAAGTTCCTCGTTACCACGGCCCAAGTTAAAGGAGCCTTTACAGTCATGGTAAGTTTAAAAATTTTCAAATGTTGCTCATTTTCAAACTCAAGAAAGGCTATTTTTCAAAAGCTCTGTAGTAGCAGGAAATTATGTTTCTTTGCCAATAATGTGCCATTTTCAAAACTGCTGTGAGGTTGCAACAGTTACTCAGGGCTGTTAGGTCAAGTTTAGCCTATCTTTTGCCACGGCCATCTACGTTTATTATCTAAACTGCTGTGAGGTTGCAACAGTTACTCAGGGCTGTTAGGACAAGTTTAGCCTATCTTTTACCAACGCCACCTACGTTTATTCAGAAAATTGTGCAAACCGTTAATATGGAGAAAAGCTACAGATTTGAGAAAATGAAAAGCGTTTGTGGTCTAATTTTTTTAATATTTAGAAACTTACTCCAATGCTGAATTATCTGGGTTCATAAAAAGTTGCAGAAAAAGGGAAATAAGGCATTGATTTTGATGATATTCGTCCAGGCGGAAAAATCTCGCTAAATAAGCGATTTTTAAAAGAAAAAATCTAATAACCTTTCAAATGTTTTAGTTATTTGTCCGCTTTAAAGCTCAGATAATTCCTTATAGAAAGATAGCTTATGCAATTTAAAATTATAGCTTTGCTTGCAAAAATTTTGGTTTTAAATACTGCAATTCTTATTACCACATATTTATTTAAAAATACAAAACTGAAAAGTACATTTGTCTGGTGGCTTGTAGCTGTCTATTCGAAAAATAGTTATTGTAGTTTTTTTTTAATGTTTGATACTTAATTGTTTTTTTTATATGATAAACTCAATGATCGACGTGAATGTGGTAGCATAGGTGGACTACGTTACCAAATTAGCATTTCTAAAGTTATTTGTGACCCTGTATTTATTTGTTTACAGTTTTTCTTTTGATAGTTGCTAATACAAAATAAAAGCCGCTAATAAAAGTTGCTAATGCATAATAAGTAATAAAAGCCAATGGTAATTAAAATTAAAAAAATAAGATATGTGCTGTTTAACCTAATTAATAGGGAAATAGTACTAATTATTTTTAGAGAAACTTAAAAATCACTATGTTTTTATTGAAGTCAATGATGCTTAAATAATTTTAGAAATAGGTATTAATTGAAATAAAAAAATAAATAAGATCTATACTAAAAAAAATTAATGGAGAAATTGTGCTAATTATTTTAGAAGAAACGTAAAAATTGCAATTATTGACACCAATGATGCTTAAACTAAAAACAGGTACCAATTCAACTAGAAATAAAAAGCTATTTACTACAGGTAAATTAATGGAGAAATTATACTAATTCAGTTTAGGATAAACGTAAAAAACAATTATTGACGCCAATGACGCTTTATTAATTTTGGTAATATGCACAACTAATATTATGGAAATTGATGCAGTTTTAATAAGTACCAAATATGCTTACATAGACACAATTAGTATATTTGATACTTATTTAAACTGCATCAACATTGAGCCATTTTAATACAGATACGGTGGAAATTTATACGGTAGAAAGTGATACGGAATGCAGTGGAAATAGATTTTTTACGGCCACTAGAAACTGCTACGTCCCGGAGAAAATTTGGTTTGGGAAAATTTTCCTATCCTGAGTTGACCATGAATAATATCAAATGATACTGGATACAGTTAATCTTCGTTACGTTAAGATGAAGAATTATAAACCCTTTTTAATTAATTTAATAGCGTAAAGCCACGGACAGGAATGAAAAATAACAATATTAAAAAGTAAGAATTAATTGTGTTGGTATAGTGTGCTTTCAGTTCTGTGCAGGATTTTTTTAGATTGTTCAGTACAGATAATTTATTCAGAGCAGATTTACTTTTTTTAAAATCTTTACGAAGAACAAGTATTTAACTACTAGGAACGTTAAGAAAAATCTATACGTTTAAAACAATATTATATGAAATATTTTACGTTTTTTTTTAAAGGTCCTCCTCGGAGTTTCATGGGTGTTTGGTGCTTTTGCTGTTGGTTCCGCTAGACTTGTCTTTCAGTACATATTCTGCATTTCTAACTCTTTGCAAGGTTTCCTCATATTTTTAGTTAGATGTTTACAATATCCAGAAGCCAGAAGCGCCTGGTATGTTCAGATTTACTATTTTTCTATTTGCATCATATGGGGATTGTTAACCTTTTAATGTTGATTTATTTTTATTATTATAGTTATAAAATTAATGTAAGATTATAATGCTTAAAGCTATAAAACACCCAGAATAGCGCACGTCACTAAAATTAACTGGCACTCATTATAAAGTTGTTATTTACATTTATAAAACTTAGTCACATTTTGCAGAAAAAATTATCATTATTTAATTGATCTTCACAATACTTACAAGTGAAGTTTAAATTAATCCGACAACAATTACATGTTTGAATCTAATAATGTAGGTTAGTTTAGAAACGCAAAATCATAAATTTAATGAAGATGTGAAAAAATATATTATCACCATCTATGAACAATCTTAACTCAAAATTGTTTTGAATTATTTTTAACTGATTACCTTAATTTATTACAAAGAAATTGAATCTTTCAAGCCACGACACTTGTAAAGTGCTATCATGATTTTTTTGTTCACCTCTAAGTTAAAGAAATTTTTTTTACTTCATGTATTAAATATTTAATAATCATAATTTAATAATTCATAATAATTGAATATATATTCAATAAGTATTTAATAATATTTAATAATTTAATTTATATTTAATATTACATCAATAAATATTTAATAATCATGTAAAATTTATGGAAGAGAATATATATTCAATAAGCATTTAATAATATTTAATAATTTAATTTATATTTAATATTACATAATTAAATATTTAATAATCATGTAAAATTTATGGAAGAGAACAAAAATTAATTTTCGTCTGTATCAAAGTTTTTTGTGACGAATGTTTTAAATTCGCATGCCATGTAATGGAGTTTGTAACTGCGCAACTCGTTTATACCATTATTCTATTACGGATACATTTATAATGTCGTTTTTAATGATTTCTAGGTATCAGTTACTGAAAACAGGTACTTTCAAGAAGTACAGAGGAATGGCACCTCCAGGAAGTTGGTCTGGTAACTCAAATTCAGCGCATAATAAACAAAATGGCCAGTCTACAACTACCCGACTTGGTAGTGCCGACATGACCAATACAGGACCTTTCAATACTAACGCTTTTTGGGGTGAAAAGGGAGCACTTCCAGCTGACGTAACAGCAAATGTGAAAGATGATTATTGTGACGTAGGATATGATGATCCAATACCTGCTATACCATCTGATGTTGTCTTAGAATATGCCATAACTCACAGGGGGTCGGCGCAATTGTTAACCTTCAGCAGCAGCGGGAACACCCTTAAAAGCACAGCTAGTAAGGAAGACAAAGCCAGACGAGGTTCAAAAAACAAGAGCATCAGCAGGTAGTATCATTTAGAATGACTTTATGAATGTGGCATGTTTATATTATCATATTTACAACCTTTTTTTTTGTCCAATAGATCGAACTCGGAATCTTCTCAAGATCATTCTAAGATTGGAAGTGACCAGTTAGGATCTGAAGTCACAAGCAGTCACTATACGTTTGGCTTAAGTCCCGCAGTGGTGGTCGAATCAACAGACAGTGACCATGAAGATAAAAACTCTTATCAGGAAGCAGTTAGCAATGACATTACTTCTTCCAAAGACACCCAAAATAGCTCTCTGCCAGCAGAACCAAAAAGCAGGAGTTCGTATGGATCTTCTATTGGATACATAGATGACGAGGCTGAGTTGAGGGACAAAATAGCTGCCAACACACTAGATCGCAAACTATATGCTTCGAAAGCTTCGACCATATTTGGACATGTAAAACCGGATTCCCCTCCTGATCTAGACAAGCAGAACTCGTGGCCTAGAACTTTAAGTTCATTTTTAGGGGGTAAAGAGCCAGCTAAATATGCAGTATCAGATATTAGTAGTGCCAACCAAAAACGTTCTCCGAATGTTGCGGATATTCAAGATCGCCATACTTGCCAATCTATACCCCTTCAAGTTAGGCCAACATCATCAGTTATGCCTGTGTACTCGCCACCTATTAGGGAGAGTGAATTTACCCGCTTAAGTCCAAGTATTCATTCTCCACTATCTGATAGGTCAATTGGAGACATGTCTCATCATCATATCCACCATCATCACCATGGTTTGCCAGACATGTATTCCCACGTGGTACCTCCACCTCCAATCAGGGGGTGGCAAATAAGTCCAGTGGGAAGTGGTGATGTAATTGATGGTAAAGAAAGTGAAGTGTCGATATCTGGTCCTGAAACACATGTGTTCGTGCCACAGTCACTGGCAGTGAATAGTCAAAAACCAGTTCATGAAGGCATCCCTCCAGACCAAGAAACTTTCAGAATATGGGAGAGACAAGGCTTAGTCTCCCCCAGCGAAGCAATGCTGAAAGATTCGGCCGCTTCTAGACTCTAGAACAACTGAATGTGTGTGATATGCTTCTCAAAATTACATTTCGGTATTATTGTAATTCTATACGTAAATGGTGATACAAACAATTTAAGACAGTCATATACTGGATCATAATTAGTTGATCGTACAATTTCAAACTCCTGTAGTTTGAAGTCGATGCATTTTTTCGGTGACATTCACTGTCATTATTTTCTGAAAAACCTTTTTTTATAATTGTAGATCTTGAACTAAATAGTTGTCTTTTTACCACTCTTTCCTATCATGATTTTTTTCTATTTTATAATGTTTTTGTTACAAATATTAATGTTGTCAATTTTTTCTTCATTATTTTGGTCTACTTAAAGGAGATTGCATTAATCTCAAAGTTTTTTTCAATACTAATTGTATGATATCATAAAATACATTTTTGTGCAGGATGTAATGTAACAACCACCCCTTATATATATATTTTTAAAATTCTTGTAAAGTAATATGCATATTGTGGGTCACATATTGATAAGCCGTGAAAAATAAAAATATGGTGAGTTACTATTTGGTGAATTACTAAGTGGTCAGGATAAATGCATAAGAAGTAGCTTGATTCTTAGATAAAACTGAAAAACTTCTCTAATAATCACCATTCACCACGTTTAGGTACCATCTGACATTCAGAATTGTTTTAATTTTTTGACTTCGATAATAATTCGCCACATTTGGATAAGGTTTTATTTTTATTAAACTAGTTTAAGTCTTTAAAAAACTGAAAAGCGTCTCGAATAATCGCTATTTATCGTACTTAGGTAATATCAAGCATTCAAGCTTGTTTTGGTCTTATTATTGACTTCAATGATGATGCTCCATATTTTGATAATGTTTTTACTTTTCCTAACCTAAAAATTAAAACGTGACCTATAGTGTGAATAATCTATTACTTCATTTTCAGCAAGAATTCTTATAATCTCATTTGATCAAAAATAACTGACTAACTTTTAAAAATTTGGTCACTTAACAAAATTGCATGAATTTTAGATGTTTTAAAATTATTTTCCTTTCAATATTGGTAATTTTACAATATAAATTAATTTCAAGTGAATGTTACTGTATAATACAAAATCCGTTTAACAATAGAACATTACATGAAAAGCAATTGAAACAAACTAATTTTCATTAAATATGATCAATTAAAAATTGAAAACTGTGATACATAAATGAAAATATTCTATTTCTTTTTGATCAATTATGGAATTTCTTCGAAACCCTAAATTTCAGTCAATTTGAACACTTTTTTAATAATCTTAGCGGTGTATTACGAGCTTTGCAATAACCCGAGGACATATTAAACCGGTAATGCACAAATGTTGGTGAACAGACCACATAAGGAATTGTTGATAAACACTTTTGTCAAAAAATATTTAATTTCAACTACAAAACAAAAACTTCAAAAATATTTTATTAATCGTAACATTTGTATGAGTTCTATTTGAACTTTTAATCTCAGAAATCTTTAATAAATGTATTTCCCTTTTAAGGAATTGCAAACCAATTATCCTTAAAATAATTTATAGTTTCGTTGTAAACATAATTTGATTTAATTTATAAAGAAATTTTTTAAAAAAAAAAAATTCCAAAACTATTGTCTATGATCAAAACCATTATAAAAACATTTACTCATTTTGTGTATAAAAAACCATTGTAGATTTCATGTTTTATTTTATTCAGTTATTGAGTTCGCAATACTTAAATTTATCTTAACTGCTTTTAATTCCTTTATAATTTAATTATAAAAACATTTACACATCTTGTGTATAAAAAACCATTGTAAATTTTGTGTTTTATTCAATTCAGTCATTGAGTTTGCAGTATTTAAATTTATCTTTACTGCTTTTAAACCCTTAATTTATTTAATTATATTTTTTACTGTGTACTGTGAACAAATCTATCTGGTAGTCCAGTAATATATTATTCAGAGTGTTTTGTAGTTACTACCCTTGTTTTTTTTATCCTTGTCAAAAAAGAAGTATAAAAAATATATACGCATCATGGGACTTAAATAAATATTTAAATGAGGATCAAACAAAAACACTATCAAACTAAAAAAAGACGAGACTGAAAATCTAAAGAGCTGTTTTATTTCTTTGAAGAAACAGTGGGGAGTTGAAAGACGATTTGTCAGTTTCATTAGACAATAAAACTGGTTTTAGTGTTTCTCCTTCCACCTTCCTTACTAGAGATCCTATAGATTTTGATAGTGTTTTTGTTTCTTCCTCGTTTGAATATAGAATTAAGACTACGAAAATGCATTTTTTAACTTCATTTTCGATAAGGATATATTAAGGGTGTTAATTACGGACACCCCGTATCATATAGTTGTGACTAAAGTTTAAAATCTAACATTAATTTTCAAATAATTTAGTTTTTTATGAGTTAATTAAAATAATTTCTCTAAATCAAATTTTATTTTAGGCTAGCAATTTTAAAGGGTATTTATTATAATGATATTTAAACACAGTGCTGTTTAGAAATACGTTAGAATATTTGATTCTATATTTTGGAAGAAATAAATAATTAGAATTGTTGGTCGAGCTGTAACAAGCTAGATTCGGAGTATAGAAAAAATTTAATTTTCACCTAGAAAGGTACGGAACGCACACTTAGTAATATTAGAAACACAGAAGAAAACAGAACAAACAGAAAGTACAGAACAAACAGAAGAAAAATATCACGAAAATAATTTTAGAAATATTTGACTTAAAACACGTTAGTGTAATTGAATAAAACAAAATCTACAAACAAGCAATTTTTATTGTAATCCTCAAATCATTAAAATCTCAAAATCTTTTTAAATATTATTCATTTTCAAACATTAATCTGTCATGAGCTTATATAATTTGCCAAACGTTAACTTCAATGTCTTAAAACTAATTATCAATTTCAAAAATATCCTAATGTCTTGTACATTAGTAATATTTTAATATTTAAGATATTTTAAAATTAAAATTAAATCTATCATAATTTTAAATTCCTATTATATTAAGAAAAAAAAATATTTTTAAAGTATGAATTCGATTTAGGGATTTAATTATATTAGTATATTTCTTTATATTTCACGTTTGAATTAAATTTTTTTTGTCAAAGTTTATAAAATATTCATTTTTTTAAAAATAAATTTATGTTATAGTTCAGAATTAGAAAATTGTATGCTTTTTAAATTTAGTACTTTGATCATTGCTTTAAATTTCTTAGAGCAAGTTGAAAAGAAATTGATATTTTAATACTTTGCTAAATTCTCAAAACTAAATGTAAATTGCTTACTTTGAATTTTTAACCAATTATAAAAATATAAATGTGTTATTTTAATTATCATTAACTGTATAAAACTAAATGGACTAATGAAATATTATGCACATAAACTAATTAAGAACAGAATTTTCTATATTTTTTGTAGTAATATTTTGTGGTAATCATTTCGTTATTTTATAAATGTAAAATTTATTTTTCTTCTTAATTATAATAAAAATTTTGAAATATATATATTTTCTTTTTACATTTTCTAATATTTATAAAACAATATGAAACAGTTAAGCATTTTTTGAGAGAAATAAAACAGCAACTATTCTTACGTCATATAAAAGTTTTTTCTTAATTAAATTATTTCAAAAGTAAATTATTGTTCTCTAAATTTATTGTAATTTTTTGCGATTTCTTTGTGTCAAATAATTTTTGAAATAAATTATGTTTCTTTTTAAATAAATTAAATTTAAGGTATAGGCTTCATTTTGAAATGAATAAACAAATGGTCTTATTCAGAAAATCAATAGTTATTTATTACAAAAAATAATAGCTAATATTGTGAATATTATATAAATTAAAAATGAATTTTTAAAAATGAAATTCATCCAATGTATAACCAATAAATCAGAGAAAACATTTGTCTCTTAAATAAATAAATGCTTTCTGATAGACATTAATCATTTAAATAAAATTATTTCTGTATTTTTCTTTGATTACGCGATAATCTGCTTGGAAAAATGCTGATTTTGATAGAGAAAAAATCTTAAATAGGCCACCCAAAATATCACCAATTTGGCGATAAACTACTTGATTACTGGAAATCCGTATTTAAAGTAAACTTGAAGCGAACATGGATTTCCGTGTAACTAGAAAAGAAATTTGGTGATGTTTTTAATACAAAAAAATGTATTTAAAAAATTTTCCTAACAAATTAAAGTTTATACAACTTTTTTAACATATTAACTTAAAATAGAAAATGTACGAACGAAAAAATAGCAACACAATTATCAATCAGCATTATAGAATACTTTATTTGTAAGTTTATTTTTCTTTTTATATTTCTATCAAGTATTTATTTATAAACATTATTTAATGTTAATAACTGCCAATAAATTTATCTGATGTAAAATTCTTTTGATATAAAAAGCACTGTCATAAAACTTTTATATTCCTGTTATTATTTATAACTAAACAGAAAGTATTTTGAAACTTTGAAATATTATTTATTATTTGACGCGAACACTAAGACGCCATTAAATATTTCTACTAAAATAAATTATTCAAAATTTTTAGTTCAAATAGACTTCCCAAATAGTATATAAACTTTTATTGTCTATAAACTTCAGTTTCTTTTCTTAAAAGAAAATTTATCTTATTTACTTTTCCAGTTTAAGAATTGCATTTAAAAACTTAAAAGATTGAATGTACCATTTGTTGAAAATGCATTCTACTTGCCTATATTATAAGCAGATATAATAATATTTCAAACACTTTGTGTATGTTGTAGGGTTGCAATGACATATACAATATGTGGTGTAAATTTAAGCATGTTTTATCTTCTCGATATACTGGTGTTAAAATGTGATTGAAATTATTGCTAAATGTGTAAATTTTTAATTGTTGTGAAAAAAATTTCAGAAACTTAAGAAAAATATTTTTGGTAATACTATAAATAATCCAAGAAAGTGTGATTGTAAAATAAATAATTTAGAATTATTTTATAAATCTTTCATTGAAGTTATCTTTTTTGTATTTATTCTTAGATTTATTTAGAAATAATTTATTATTGATTCTGACTTTTAATTTTTGTGCAATATGAAGTTTGTTGCATTTAAATTTAGTTCTTGTAAGCTGCTCGCTATTTAGCACTGGAATATTTTATGCAGTTCAGCATTTACCTTTGAAGTTATTTTGTTGTAGTGCACGGACCTTAAACTCTTAGCTATTTATTTGGTCCATTGTTTTTGCGGTATTTTGCTATCAAATTTTGATTTCGATAAAATACTTTTTGATTTGGATTATATTTCATTTTTTAATACTTTTACAGAATTGTTAGCTTAAGTGAGACATTTTAAACTCTTTGACGCAGAATTTTTAATAAGCATATTTTTCATACTTTTTTCATTTATTATATATTAATTTAGGTCAAAATAAGTGAAAAATATTGCGTTTACTATTTTAACAATATATCATGTTATGAAATACAGCATGAAACATTGGGAATTTTTTTATTCTGCGTTTAAGGTAAAATCTTCTAAACACTTCAAGAGAATAATTTTTCAAACTTAAACTCATTTCCAGCTATTTAGATCAAAGAGAAACGGTTATTCATCATTGAAATTTCTTTAGTTTACAAAATCAGTTATTGATAAATTTTTAAATCTGAATGAACAAAAGATTTCAAACTACTTTTTTTAGATTTAACATTTTAGTACAAATATAATTCCGTTAATCTTAGATACTTTTAGACTGTTTTTCATAATGAAAAAATAGCAAAATATGTTTTTGCCTGTAATTAGATTTTCAAAAAATATATATAAAAAGGTCCCCGGTGGCCCATCGGCATCAAAATGGTTAATACGCATTTTTTTTTAAAGAATCATTAATAAAAAATATAATTTTTCCTTAAACGCCGATTATTTAGCAGTGTAGGAGATACTATTGAGTTTACGGGGTAAAAATTATCAAACTTAGTTTAAAGCATTTTTTCTTACTTTGATGATTTGTGTTACAAGTCTTTATAAGTTCTGAGAAGACGAAGAACAATATGTAAAAATATTGGTTGGATAACAACAAAACTCATTTTGTATTTCTTTGCTGAAATGCAATTGCAAATATAGATTTCTTTTAAGATTGTAATGTGTAACTTACTGTTAACTGCTAACGAAACTTACTTTAATATTTTTGCCTATCCTGTTTGTTTTCTCAACGGCATTACTTTAGTTTTTGAAAAGATCACAAAAATTAGGGCTTTATAATAGCTAGCATCATGCAAGGAAAATTTAGAAAACCCGCAATTTCAAAATTTCAGACTACGAAACATCAAAATTTCAGACTACGAAACATCAAAATTTCAGACTACATAGTTTTTTTTATTTCTGCATTATATTGTATTCAAACTTGTGCAATTTATAATTTAAAAAAGAAAATCCTCAAAATACAAAAATTTAAGGCATTGCCTTTCCTTCCAAAATTTTTTTGAATGAAAATTTCTTCATTTTTTGCAAATTAATTACTACACATATTGTAGA